TTTTTTTTTTTTTTTCTTACCCCAATTTTCACATTCATGCCACGTAGTGGCCACAAAATACAGTAATAATCTGTTTTTATGTTAAAAAGAGTGATCTAACCCAAGTTCAGGAATGATTATGAGGGAGGATTATTGAGTATTTGGTACATTTTGTCTATCCTTATCTTGAATCTATCCTAAATTAAAATGTGTTTTACACGCATACCCTAATTATTTCCCTTATACCCGACTGTTAAATGTAAAAAAAAAAAGCCAAAGTTTTCAGGTTTTCAGATTCTAAAAGTATTTTTTGGTTATTTAGAAGTAGCTATCGCTAAGAAACTTCACCAAACTCTGAGTTTTGTTGAAGGTGAACAGTCGATGTCTGGAGATGCTGATAGAGGCTCAGGCACACATTTTAAAAATACCCCCCTTTAAGTACACGCTATGTTTAGAGCATTGTCCCTTCCTTATCTTTTCAGAGGACCCCTGACGTGTGGCTCTTTTCAGAGGACTTTCACTCTCCTGGTGGTCAGTTATAGGTGGGTTTTATGTCCAAATAGACTATTTTAAACACTGAAAAGAGACCGTACATACCTCTGAACCACCTCTCTGACTAGTCTTTTAACATAAGCATCCAATTTAAAAAGGAAGTCTGACTCCAAATCAATCATTGAGTTAAAAAATCTGAATATTTTTATCTAAATTGTGCAATATTGAGTACATTTTCAGGGATTATCCATCATCTGCTGGGCAATAATTCATAAGGGATACATATATCACCTTACTTTTGCCAATATGTTTGTTATTTTTTCAAAAACTTACAATCAGAAATAAGTCAATCCAACCTTATGATACAAAAAATACATTTGTTTTACAGTATATATTTGTTTAAAAACCCCTATCAATTACCCTTTTTAGGACATTTTTCTCTTGGATGATGTATAATCTGACCTGTATTTTCCTTTGAATTGCTTAGAAAAGTAAACAACATCTAGTCAAAAGGTTTAAAAAAGACATCACAGTTTTCAGTTTGAGATTCTTTTGTATTTTGAGGTACCCTCTCTTTTGTGAAGTCCACATTAAGCATCTCAGCCGGGACACAATCCGCTGCAGTTTTCTGTGAGTGTTTTGTTACAAACACTTTATGCAAGCTGTCGTCTCTAATGTTGCTTCTGCCAATGCTGCTTGTTAATTTATGATTCATGCCACTGTAAATAAATTATTTTTATTGAGCTGCTCAGCTTCTGGGTTTTATTTGAACTGTGAATTCTTTGTCATTTTGTGGAAAATCAGTCAATGTATGGCGGTCTGATGGGTGTAATTGCGCGTATTCACCAGTAGGTGTCACCCTTTAGTAACCTTTAGTGCACCATTAATATAATGTAATAATAAAAAAATATTTGTATATTTTGTATATTCTTTCTTTTAAAAAATATAGTTTTTTTTTAATGGAAATTAATTTAAAAATTCCCAAAATTTTAATTTTTTTCTTCAGCTCAAATACCAATTAATTCAGTATTCTCAGAATTTTGAATATTTTTGTAAATTTTTTGCGACATCTCAACAAAATCTAAAAAACTAAATGAGTTAATTTAATCTGTCAGGAATTCTTATTCATGGGCAAAAATAAATAAATAATTTCAACCCACTTTTGTTCAACATAGATCCAAAAGTCTGGAAATAAAAACGATGAACTAATGAAATGAAGCTTTTTTAAAAAGAGG